CTAAAAGACCTCATTCTTTTTTTTTTAGACAACATTTCATGCAATGATAAACATGTTAAAGCAAGTTGCAAGTGAAAATCTGTGTCTCTGACATATTTTGCATTATTGCTTAATTTGAGCTCTCTGCTGGCTGGGAAAAGCTTATTCTGAGGTCTCATACAGCTAGGGATAAAAACAGCTTCAGCCACTAAAAGGCTTCATTCTTTTTGTTTTAGACAACATTTCATGCAGTGTTTAACATTTTAAAGCAAGTTGCAAGTGAAAATCTTTGTTTCTGACTGAGTTTGCATTACTGCTTAATTTGACCTTTCTGCTGGCTGTGAAAAGCTTATTCTGAGCTCAAATTCACCAAGTGATAAAAACAGCTTCAGCCACTAAACAGCAACATTCTTTTTGTTTTAGACAACATTTCATGCAGTGTTGAACATGTTAAAGCAAGCTGCAAGTGAAAATCTGTGTCTCTGACTGAGTTTGCATTACTGCTTAATTTGAGCTCCCTGCTCTCTTGGAAAAGCTTATTCTGAGGTATCATACAGCTAGTGATAAAAACAGCCTCAGCCACTAAAAGGCTTCATTCTTTTTGTTTTAGACAACATTTCATGCAGTGTTTAACATTTTAAAGCAAGTTGCAAGTGAAAATCTGTGTCTCTGACTGAGTTTGCATTACTGCTTAATTTGAGCTCTCTGCTGGCTGGGAAAAGCTTATTCTGAGCTCTAATTCACCAAGTGATAAAAACAGCTTCAGCCACTAAAAGGCCTCATTCTTTTTTTTTTTTTTAGACAACATTTCATGCAATGTTGAACATGTTAAAGCAAGTTACAAGTGAAAATCTGTATCTCTGACTGAGTTTCCATTACTGCTTAATTTGAGCTCTTTGCTGGCTGGGAAAAGCTTATGCTGAGGTCTCATACAGCTAGTGATAAAAACAGCTTCAGCCACTAAAAAGCTTCATTCTCTTTGTTTTAGACAACATTTCATGCAATCTTAAACATGTTAAAGCAAGTTGCCAGTGAAAATCTGTGTCTCTGACTGAGTTTGCATTACTGCTTAATTTGACCTCTCTGCTGGCTGGGAAAAGCTTATTCTGAGGTCTCATACAGCTAGTGATAAAAACAGCTTCAGCCACTAAAAGGCCTAATTCTTTTTGTTTTAGAAAACATTTCATGCAATGTTAAACATGTTAAAGCAAGTTACAAGTAAAAATCTGTGTCTCTGACTGAGTTTGCATTACTGCTTAATTTAAGCTCTCTGCTGGTTGGGAAAAGCTTATTCTGAGCTCTAATTCACCAAGTGATAAAAACAGCTTCAGCCACTAAACAGCATCATTCTTTTTGTTTTAGACAGCATTTCATGCAGTGTTGAACATGTTAAAGCAAGTTGCAAGTGAAAATCTGTGTCTCTGACTGAGTTTGCATTACTGCTTAATTTGAGCTCTCTGCTGGCTGGGAAAAGCTTATTCTGAGGTCTCATACAGGTAGTGTTAAAACAGCTTCAACCACTAAAAGGCTTCATTCTTTTTGTTTTAGACAACATTTCATGCAATGTTAAACATTTTAAAGCAAGTTGCAAGTGAAAATCTCTGTCTCTGACTGTGTTTGCATTACTGCTTAATTTGACCTTTCTGCTGGCTGGGAAAAGCTTATTCTGAGGTCTCATACAGCTAGTGATAAAAACAGCTTCAGCCACTAAAAGGCTTCATTCTTTTTGTTTTAGAAAACATTTCATGCAATGTTGAACATGTTAAAGCAAGTTGCAAGTGAAAATCTGTGTCTCTGACTGAGTGTGCATTAATGCTTAATTTGAGCTCTTTGCTGGCTGGGAAAAGCTTATTCTGAGCTCTAATTCACCAAGTGATAAAAACAGCTTCAGCCACTAAACAGCATCATTTTTTTTGTTTTAGACAACATTTCATAAAGTGTTGAACATGTTAAAGCAAGCTGCAAGTGAAAATCTGTGTCTCTGACTGAGTTTGCATTACTGCTTAATTTGAGCTCTCTGCTCTCTGGGAAAAGCTTATGCTGAGGTCTCATACAGCTAGTGATAAAAACAGCCTCAGCCACTAAAATGCTTCATTCTTTTTGTTTTAGACAACGTTTCATGCAGTGTTTAACATTTTAAAGCAAGTTGCAAGTGAAAATCTGTGTCTCTGACTGAGTTTGCATTACTGCTTAATTTGACCTCTCTGCTGGCTGGGAAAAGTTTATTCTGAGCTCTAATTCACCAAGTGATAAAAACAGCTTCAGCCACAAGAGAAATTCTGTGTCTCTGACTAAGTTTGCATTACTGCTTAATTTGACCTCTCTGCTTGCTGGGAAAGCTTATTCTGAGGTCTCATACAGCTAGTGATAAAAACAGCTTCAGTTACTAAAAGGCCTTATTCTTTTTGTTTTAGACCGCATTTCATGCAATGTTGAACATGTTAAAGCAGGCTGCAAGTGAAAATCTGTGTCTCTTACTGAGTTTGCATTACTGCTTAATTTGACCTCTCTGCTGGCTGGGAAAAGCTTATTCTGAGGTCTCATACAGCTAGTGATAAAAACAGCTTCAGCCACTAAAAGGCTTCATTCTTTTTGTTTTAGACAACATTTCATGCAATGTTAAACATAGTAAAGCAAGTTGCAAGTGAAACTCTGTGTCTCTGACTGAGTTTGCATTACTGCTTAATTTGACCTCTCTGCTGGCTGGGAAAAACTTATTCTGAGGTCTCATACAGCTAGTGATAAAAACAGCTTCAGCCACTAAAAGGCTTCATTCTTTTTGTTTTAGACAACATTTCATGCAATGTTAAACATGTTAAAGCAAGTTACAAGTAAAAATCTGTGTCTCTGACTGTGTTTGCATTACTGCTTAATTTGAGCTCTCTGCTGGCTGGGAAAAGCTTATTCTGAGCTCTAATATACTAAATGATAAAAACAGCTTCAGCCACTAAACAGCATCAGTCTTTTTGTTTTAGACAGCATTTCATGCAGTGTTGAACATGATAAAGCAAGTTGCAAGTGAAAATCTGTGTCTCTGAGTTTGCATTACTGCTTAATTTGACCTCTCTGCTGGCTGGGAAAAGCTCATTAGGTAAAGCTTTCTTTTACAACCCGCAAAGTACAGTGTAAGTACAGTAAAATTACAGTGTACTTTTCTGTACGTACTGTGTAAGTATAATGAACGTATGTGTAGGTATAAGGGAACAAACCGTAATGCTTGGGTAAAAAGGCGGTAACAACCAGATGTTCATCACGAAAATTACAGCGGAAGTACAGTGAAATAATGGTGTACTTTTCTGTACGTATAGTGTAAGTATAAATAACGTTTAAGTTGGTATAAGGGAACAAACTGTAATGCTTGGGTAATAAGGAGGTAACAACCAGATATTCGGCATGAAAAGTACCGCGTAAGTACAAGGAAATAATGTTGTACTTTTATTTAATTTGCAAAAGAACAAACCATAATGTTTGCGTAATAGGGGAGTAACAATAAGATATTCTTCACGCAAAGAACCGCGTAAGTATATTACGTTTACGATGTACTTTTCTTCAAGTATTGTATACATATAAAGAATTGTGCAAGGATGGTGACAACCTATTGGTACATGCTGATGACAGTACACAGTGGCACAGTAGGTGATGCTGTTTCCTCACATCAAAAAGGTTGCTGGTTCGAGCCTCAGCTGGGTCAGTTTCTGCGTGGAGTTCTCCCTGCATTCGCGTGGGTTTCCTCCGGGTGCTCCAGTTTCCCTCACAGTCCAAAGACATGCAGTATAGGTGAATTGGGTAGACTAAATTGTCCGTAGTGTATGCGTGTGAATGGGTGTGTACAGATGTTTCCCAGAGATGGGTTGCAGCTGGAAGGGCATCCACTGTGTAAAACATACGCTGGATAAGTAGGTGGTTCATTCCACTGTGGCGACCCCAGATTAACAAAAGGAAAAAGCCAAAGAGAAAATGAATGAGTATAGGCAATGATAGACAAGACAATGTTTGATTAAGATGAAGTGTTTTAAAATGCTTTTTTTTTTTAAATAAAGGTTTTAAAGTAAAGAAGAAATATATTGTGTGTTTGTATATTTATTTTACTGCCTTCAAGATTTTACATTGTAAACTAAAGGGAACAAGGGGGGAACAAATGTTGTATTTACCCTTTAACTACAGGTAAGGGAGGAACAATGCTTCACTTTAATTTACAACGCTCAAATGTGGTATTTACCTTGTAAGTACAGGGAACAAGGGGGTAACAAGGGAGGAACAATGCTTCACTTTAGTTTACAACCCCCAAATGTGGTATTTACCCTGTAAGTACAGGGAACAAGGAGGTAAGAAGAGAGGAACAATGCTTCACTTTAATTTACAACCCTTAAATGTGGTATTTACCCTGTAAGTACAGGGAACAAGAAGGGAACAAATACTGTATTTACCCTTTTACTACAGCGAACAAAGAGGGAAGAAGCTGAACTTTAACACACTAGTGTATACTTGAACACTAAGAACAGAGTAAACTACAGCAGCAGTTTTTATTGATTGAAGACCAAATTACTACATTTTTCTATAAAGCATCAGCTATACATTTACTGAAATGCAACAGTTGGCCTCCCTGTGCAAACAGCAGTAAAGATGCAAGCCTGTTTTAATCTGCATTGAAACCTGACGGTAGGCATATGTCATGCAAAGTTGTTTGTTGATAGTAATTTATGGAGACATTAATGGCTTTGGTGAGATTGACGAGTAAACATAAGGTAAGTAGTGTATGGAAATATATTTTATATTGAATTGCAGATTTAAAATACATACAGTATACAATAAGGGTTCATAATTTCACAGGTTGTGAACCTTTTATTTATTAAACACCCCATATAAAACCCAAGCACTGAATAAGAGTACTAATGTACTCATGCAGGTGCATGTACCAATAGGTTGTCACCATCCTATCTGGTTGTTACCCCCTTATTACCCAAGCATTGCAGTGTGGAGAGGTAAGCGTGATCAAACACCCAATCAGGGGGGAGAGCATGCTAGGAGCCCGGCGGCTAATCAGCGGGTCAATCAGAAATGATAAATAACACACTGTAAAAGCAAACATGGTGTTTAATTAAAAATATTAAATTGACCTTAATCAGTTTTTGTCAACCTGCTATTAACACTCACTTTTATTAAGTTACTTGTACTTTGAGGTTGAAAAATCTTACCAGCTCAGTCTACTTGAGCTGGATTAATTTAGAAAAAGTAAGTTTATGACACTGTGGGCATGCGCAGATCAATCAATCATCCCCAACCAATCAAGCTGCTTCGTAGGCGGGTCTTGACGTGGCGGGATTCGTAATTTTGCAAACGGTATGTCACCGCAACTGACCGACCAGATGAAGCTGGATATCATTGAGCTGGACCTAAACATCGCTTTAACGGCAGTTGTGATTATTGTCAGCGTAACAGCGATTCTTGTGCTTGGCACACTCATTTGGTGAGTAAATATTTTAATTTACCCTTGCGCAGATCGTTTTGTTTCTGTGTCAGCGCCAGTGTTTTGTGCCTGCTAGTAATGATGTGTGTAGTAATGTCGGCTAACGCTAGCTAACTATATTATGGACATAACGTGGCTGTATTTTGATGAAACTTGGTCAATACTTTATTATTTTCAAGACTTTTGTCACGTTAAAATTGAGGAAAAACTTTAGTGTAGCAGTAACGTTAACTGTCGCTCGCGCCCACCTGCCATGTCAGTAACATTGTCATCGAGTACTGACTAGCAGCTAGCATGATGATGACAGACTGATCCCGGCGGTTTGGGAGTTTCCTGAGTTTTATAACTGTTGTTTGTAAGCTCAGGCAGAACATCAGAACAAGTCTGGATGTATAATTTTTTTTAAATAGTATGTAAAGACTATGCTAATTTTAGCTACCAACAATAAAAGTCTGTGCTTATCAAAAACAGGATTAACGTTACCACTCTGTGTCGACATATGATTGGGGATATCACCACAGTCAACTAACTTAATGTTATTTTATTTAACACTTCGCACTTCATAGTCAATATTCGTAGCTGTGCTGTTTCCATGTTTACCATAGTACCCACTACCCAGATCAGTCTTGGTTCGCTACAGACAAAAGTGTTTACCTGTCTGGAAAGATCTTTACACTCAGTTTATCATAGTCTGCTATGATAGGGAACATATTTGCTGGCATACTCAGTGGCTTACATTATTCTTTAAGGTCATCTTGTACATAATATGTTCATTTTAATACTGGGAGCTGTCATTGTGGGTTATAGGCCTATGTTACAGCTTTCACATGTACTTGGTTGTGCTAAATTGTTGTATTTTTATTTAACAGTTTCCTTCCAGGCACAAGCAGATGGTGATCAATCCACACATTCCATAATCCCAGCAATAAAAGGTATTTTCAACTAATAACTGTATTATTATTGCATGCTAAAGTAAAAGTTATGCTTACATCAGAGCAATTGGATTACAACAAAAGCTAAGAAAATCTTGTGTTGAAATTATTTCATTATAGTATATTTCATCATACATAATATTTTATGCATATTTTGAATTTCAAATATTTGATGTAATTAGTATTTCTGGACTGTCTCTATAGATACTGTGGGTTCGATTTATAGTCCATCATACCCAGGACTACAGTTCCCTTGATGTCTAACCACATAAGCGAGTCATTTACCATTTACTTTTTTTACTGCTGTGTTCACTTGTCTTAAAGAAGTTCATTGATTAAAAGCTTGATAATTAGATTTTTGCAAGGATTTAGTTTTTCCTATAGCTCTGGTATTTCAAATCTGATACTGCATTTAAGTGTTTTTGTCTTTTTATGTTGCTAGGTTTGATGCCAAAATTATCTTTTCTTTCTTTTCAGATTTTCAAACAGTTATCAAAATGGACCAGAGGTTGTTACTGAGAGCCATCATCGCTGAAGATGATATAAGTAAGTTGACTTTAATTAAGAGACCACAGTCCATTGAAGAATTCAAAGTGCAACTGGTGGATAAACTGTCACTGCAGTATGACTTTAAACTGCAGTATGAAGATCAAGACTCCAATAATGCCCTCTGCAATTTGACTGAAATAACTGATTTACCTGAAAGAGCTACAGTCAAAATTATCCCTCTTGTGACTCTCCATTTAACAGCATTGTCATCACCCACCGCAACATTAGACACTGAGGGCAGCACAGCAGACACTGAGATCCTGTTGCCTGTAGGAGCATCACCATCGCTAAGACAACAGTGGCCAGAGTTCTTTGACATACCCAATTAGCACATATCATAGAGAGACAGGTAAGCAATTTTTGTTCTCAACCAATAAAATAATGCAAATAAACATAAATTCAAGGTGTGTGACTAGAAATCCAAACACTCCTCTCTACTTTTTCAGGTGTTTGCTGAGTTTAATAGAATCGCCAGTAAGAATCTTGAGGGAGACTTCTTTGAGGCTCTGGACCAGTATGCCCCACGTTTCATTGAACTTTTCAAAACAAGAAGGGAACTGTTGGCCAGAAACTCAGGGAGCTGATGCAGCACATGAGCTGGATGGTAAGTAGGTTTATTTTGCTTTTGATCTGTGTGATAGTTCATCAATCAAGTTCTAAATGAGACCATCCAGACCAACCTATTTTATTTCCTGTCTGCTTGTGCCTTGCAAATTACTCTGTTAACTGGTCTTTTCTCTCTCTGTGTATCATTAGACACCAGACGTCACAGTACTTCGCTCTGTTGTCCTCAAAGGCATTCCCATTTTACTCGGTGATGACTCCAGTGAATTCTACAAGACCTGCTCTGTAAGTACTTGCACATAAGAAAAAGTTTGGTCTTGTAGAACACTTAGAATTGAAGACAAGGAGACTTGGTTCTTTCTTCAACAGGATTCTTTATTGAGAACATGAGCTGCTGCAGTCAATTCTGATCAAGGCACAACAAAAGGGTTAAATATATCATATAATTTTATTGACAAGTACACATTTCCATTGCCAACACTTGTCAGATAACTTAAGGACATTGCTATTGCTACAGTTTCTATGACTGCTCCACAGATTTCTTGTTGCAAATTTTACACACACACACACACACACACACACACACACACACACACACACACACACACACACACACACACACACACACACACACACACACACACACACCAACCTGGAGGTGGACACACACACACAAACTTACTGACACGCTCACACACACTCACACATTCAAAAAGACTCACACACACAGATTCAAACACAGACACACACTCACACACACTCAAACACAGAATAAGACAAACACACACACTTAAACACAGGCTCACACACACTCACACATTCAAAAAGACTCACTCACAGGTTCAAACGCAGACTCAGACACACACACACACACACACACACACACACACACACACACACACACACACACACACACACACACACACACTTTACCAAAATAAAAGGAATTAAAATGAAAACTAAAATTTACAATTTTAATTTGAGTTGTCACTATTATTGCGTGAGCGTTAATAAAGAGCTTTTGTAAAACTATTTGTAGTTTCTTTTTCACGTTTGGCTTTTCATTTTAATATTGGCTGTCTTGCCTCGAGACTGTAGTGAAAATTAAATGTGAAATCACCAATTTCATTTTATTTTTCAAATTGACATGGATGATGCACTGTCACCATGAGAATGAAATCATTTCATTGTCAATTTTGTCACACATTTTGCATACAGTTTTCTCTAATGAAATCGTTAATCTGGTTTTAATTTTCATTTTAGTCATTTAATTTATTTAAATTTATAGAAAATGTCTTCCATAGATCTTAAACATATTCTTAAAATTGTAATCCTACAGTCTGCATGAACATAAAATTATACCTGCGTTGACAGATGTAATTCTATCTGCTCAATATACAATATACATTTTGTACAGTGATTGATGTATTTTGTAGGTTGAAAAGTCAGTGTCACTCTTTGAGGATGTATAGACCTTTTTAGCTTTAGTTTAACCATAACAAATATATTTTGTTTGCTTTATTGTTACAATCCAGTGTGAAAACATATTTAAAACCATATTCTCTGATAACATTACAACACTAAAAAAGAATGTTTTAGAATAGCATAAATTGCAATGCTGAAGAATGTGTGTCTTTTAGGATACAGAGAGAGACGAGGCCCTAGAATGCATCACTGTTGGTGTGCTGACAGTTGTCAGTGAAGATAGTCCTCACGAGGGTCAAAGCTCAGTGGAACTCCAGCCCATCTCCACTGCCATCATTCTGGAGGGAGGTGTTGTCATGGATCATATTAAAAACTTGCCTCAGGCAGTTTGTCCTTTGTTTGGTCTTACATATGCATTGCATTTGGATTACCCAAAATGCATGGCAAATACACTCAACTTCATTCAGACTGTGATGCTTGGACTGGTAAAGAAAAACCTCCCACCAAAACTGTTAACTCTGAAGAACAGTCTTCTGGGTTAGAACAGTAAAGAGCCGTCGGCTGTCAGATAGCACTTTGTAAGCTTTGCAGCCATTATTGTTCTCCTCTTATCAGAGAAAGTTTGATGCTTTCATGGAACTGTTCTCGCTTATTTACGTTCTCAATGGAAAAAAAAGAATATTCCATTAATGTCTACCATGTTATGCAGGTTTGCTAATGGTGGAAATAGTGCCACGTTGTGTTGCTGTAGTGATGAGTCAGAAGGCATTGAATCCATTTGCAAGCTTTATTAAGAGCACACATACAAACAAACACAAAGGGGCAATCCAGGAGACAGAACGTGGGACAGGCAAAAGTTCAAAGGCAGGCAGATATCTTACTGGTCAGAATAACAGGCTGGAGATCAGGGGCAGGCAGATGTCTTTCGTAATCGTAGAACAAGCACAGGGTCAGAAACACAGATCAGTCCGAAGCAGGGAGTATGGAACGCTCAGAAATGACAGCCAGGCAAATCAAGACTTCGCAACGAACCGGAGCGTGAGTGTGGTATATATACACGAGAGCTGATGAGTTGCACCTGGACCGTAATCAGTGCCAGGTAGCAGGGCTTATGGGATTTTGAGTCCGTGAGTCGAATCAGAATTCTGGCGATGGTTCCCTCTGGTGGTGCACAAGAGGGTTGGCATCGCCCTCATTTACAACAGAACCCCCCTCCTGCGAGCGGCTCCTGAAGCGAGAAGGCACCTGACGCCGGGGTCTACCGCGCTGTCGGGGGGCTGGTTTCTCTGGGAACCTTTGATGAAACTCTTCCGTGAGAGTTGGGTCTAGAATATCTCTAGCATTCACCCAGGACCGTTCCTCTGGACCGTACCCTTCCCAGTCCACCAGATATTGGAGGGCGCCACCCCGACGTCGAGAGTCCAGCACCTCTCGAACGAGGTAAGCTTCCTCGCCCTCGATCATGACAGGTGGAGGGGTCCTGGTTTCCGATTCCTCCTCAACCGCCTCCTCTCGTGGACCACCAGCGGGTTTGAGTAATGACATGTGGAAAGTAGGAGAAATACGATAATGATTAGGCAAGGCTAAGCGAAAAGACACTGGAGTAATCTGGCGTACAATTTTGAATGGCCCTACATACCTGGGACTGAGTTTGCGGCAGGGCAATCTCAGACGAAGGTCTCGTGTCGACAACCACACCCACTGCCCCGGTTGATACGTGGGTCCCTGGCGTCGGTGACGGTTCGCCTGAATCTCTCTCCTCCTGACTGCCCTCATGAGATGTCTGTGAGCCTGGTTCCAGACATCCTCACTCCGCTGCAGCCAATCCGTGACAGCAGGTAACTCAGTGGGTTCTCCGGACCATGGAAACAGGGGTGGTTGGTAGCCAAGAATACATTTGAATGGCGTAATACCCGTGGCTGGCTTTATTAATGAATTTTGTGCATATTCTGCCCACATCAGATAGCGACTCCAGTCGTGCTGTTGCTGATGACAGTAGGAACGTAGAAATCGAATGACTTCTTGATTCATACGTTCAGTTTGGCCGTTGGATTGAGGATGGTACCCTGAGGTGAGACTAACATTAATATTTAGATTTTTACAGAGAGCGGACCATACCCGGGAAGTGAATTGGGATCCCCTGTCTGAGACGATATCATCAGGTAAGCCAAACATTCGAAATACATGATTGCACAGGGCTTCTGCGGTTTCAAAGGCAGAGGGCAGTTTGGGCAACGGTATTAGGCGACAAGCCTTGGAGAAACGATCAACCACCGTGAGAATGACTGTGTTGTTCTGGGAAACAGGGAGATCCGTAATGAAGTCCACCGCTATATGGGACCAGGGCCGTTGCGGAACCGGTAGCGGTTGTAACAGGCCAGCAGGGGTTTGGTGAGATGCCTTCGTGCTTTGGCAAATTTTACATTTCTGAACATAATTAATTACATCCTTCGTGAGGGACGGCCACCAGAAACGGGCTTTGACTAACTCCAAAGTTGCAGTGATGCCTGGATGCCCCGAACTGGGAGTGTCATGAATATGGGTCAGTAATCTGGTACGTATGTTATTGGGTACAAAAATCAGGTGATTCGGACAGTCTACTGGAGGGTTGTTTTCTCGGTTGGCCTCTTGGATCTCGGTAAGTATGTCCCACTGTACTGGAGCCACTAGTAAGTTCGTAGGAATAATGGTTTCATCACTAATTGGGGTTTTATCCTCTGATAGCCTGGATAGTGCATCTGCTTTACTATTTTTACTCCCTGGTCTATAGGTGACAATGAAGTCGAATCTGGTGAAGAACAAAGCCCAACGAGCTTGTCTGGGATTTAGACGTTTGGCTGAGCGAAGATATTCCAGATTCTTGTGGTCAGTTAATATGGTGAATTGCTGACTAGCCCCCTCCAGCCAGTGTCTCCATTCTTCCAGGGCTAATTTCATTGCCAGTAATTCGCGATTTCCCACATCATAGTTTCGTTCTGCGCTGGTCAATTTACGGGAGAAGAAGACACATGGATACATTTTGGATGGTTGACCCTGACGTTGAGATAACACAGCACCGACTCTTGTGTTGGATGCATCCACTTCCACAATGAAAGGTAGGTCTGGATTGGGATGACGGAGAATAGGAGCTGTGGTGAATTGAGTCTTCAGATCGCTAAATGCTTGGCGTGCTTCAG